ATTATATTTCGAAGTGTATCTCACTCGCCGGATGTATCCGATTCGACTTCTTAAACGACCGCGAAATGCAACTCAGCTCTTGGCAACACGTGCAACATCCTGTCACTTTCCACTTTAGGAGCTCTACCACGCGAAATGTTGCAGAGCTTTTGGTCGGATCACGGGTTAATCGTATGTAGATGTATACAACGATGTGCAACTTCGCATACCTTCTCACCACGCATCCACGTTCCACGCGCAGAACTGAAACAGCACCCGTTCCGACTACCGATCAGCTTCACGTGCCACCCACGAATTACGCAACAAATACTTGACCCGACCGATGCAAGCGTTAATAAGGAGAAAAATGCGGCCGCGACGCTCGTTGCATAAGCCGCTCATGATTCCCATGTAGTCGCTCATTTAGGGAATGGCCGCGTTGTCTCGGGGCCCGTGGGCCGGGGGGCCGGTTAATTCGAACACCGTCCGGCCGGTGGCCTAAAATAGAGGTACGATTTTAATTGGAATAAGTTCCGCGGCCGGCGCAAAAACCGTGCACTTCCAAAGCCGATCGGGATCGGGCGGCGTTCCTTGGCCCGCTTCGGGCAGTCCGCGGGATTCTGGACGAGCGGGTCCCCGCGCACGGCTCGGTTCTTGCCGCGGCGATTAAAGCGAATCGCGGGTCCCTGTCGCTTCCTAATTTATTAGGCCGCGTTACCGGCCGGCGCGGCGGATCGAGAGGGATCGGTCGGCCGGCCGGGCGGCTGCGACGCGTCGAATTAAATTCGCAACCCGCGTCCGGCCCGCTCCCCCTCGAAATTCGATTCGACGGAGATAAATCCGAGCGGAGCGGGACGCGCTCGTTCGCTCGCTCGCCCGCGCGCGCAAAGGCCGCGGCAGCGCTCGCCGACCGAGTAAATTGAGACATTCGCAAATGGCGGCGTCGACAGAAGATCGTATCGATGATTAATGTCCCGCGCCGCGTAGGTCGGAGAATCGTGCGGTCGGAAAAAAAAGGAGGGGAGCAAAAGAAAGTAAAACCCCCCGCGCGCGCAATTACACCGTATCATACTTAATGACTCGATAAGTGGTACCGCGGGACGATACGCGTCGCGACCGGGTCCCGGATTATACATGCGCCGCCGCTCGGTATAGTTCTACCCGTAATCACTGCAATTTCATCGAGTCTTAATCTCCGCGGGATCGGTACCGAAGGCTGGCCATCGAAAAATCGTAATGTACTCGGGGCGCTAGCCGCGCGCTCTGGAAAGCGCAAGAAGGAGGTCCGCGCGGACTCTCACCCCGACGGGCGAAACGTCTGTTCTCGGAATTAACCTTGCGGAGGTCGCGGTTCTTCTGATGGATGCGCGAGATATTTCTTGTAAATATATTTCAAGCGGCGCGTGATGTAGCTTCCTTACAGCGATTAACTTCTCTTTGTTGTGTAAATCTTGTACTGTTTCTCTCCTTTGTTCTACAAACCTAACTTATGTTACGTGAGAAAGCGATTGAAGTAATAGTATCATTAGCATTAACCAAGGAATAAATAAGATCTTCCATTTGCATTTATCAACTTGTTTCTATCGATAATTCTTGTATATGTTGTGAAAAGTTTTATCTTTGACGAATGTTGCACTGAATTTACAAGGCTAAGGATCACGACGCAGGGTTAATACTACGCTGCTGAAAAACGAGCCACTGGTGGTGGGGTTGGAAGGGGATCGGGTGGCAAAGGGGGGCGAACTTCTGCAGCGAGCCGGACAATAGCAGCGCCGCGAAGTGTAGCGGACAAACAAATAGCCAATTAAAATTCCGGTTGCACGGCGAACATACTTGTATCAGCTGCAGTACTACCAACCATTGTGCACCGAAGGCATGCGCGAGCCGGTGTCTGGATCGGTTGACTGGGCCCGGGGTACCAGAAGATCGGTTGCTTACGACCAACCTTCAAGGACTATCTCACCGGCGAAACCTGCGACTCGTTTGCACCGTTCGCTCAGCTGAATCTCGCCCTACCGGGAGACATCGTTATCGATGCGATCGCGCTTTTATCGCGGGACGATTCGTACTCGTCAACCGCCGCACCGACTCGCCCTCCTCTCCCGCGTTCTGGGAGCGCTGTTAATTAAAAAAGCATCTGCGAGCTGGTTACCGTTTCGGTTTCGATTAATCATACATTCTTGTAACCGGTGGTCGCTCATTGTTTTGTTGTCGCTTCTTTTACTCTTTCGTTTTCGAGACCGCAGCGGTTGGACTCGTCTTTTTAATCGTCGGAGTAATTGGAGGTAGTCCGACGTTGATTTAAGTGGTACGGAAGAGCCGTTCGGGAATTGAAATGTCTGATTTAAAATCTTGAAATACAACGCGCCGCCGCGCGTTTCGCGGAGGTTCTGATTCAATAAAATTTTGCAGTAACGACCGGAAGTTACGGGCTCGGTCTATAAATCTTTAGGAATAGCGATACGCTTGGTAAGTCGATAAATTTGAGTAACTACTTACTTGCGAGGAACGTGAACAATGGCGACCGCTAACAGTCCGGGTTTCCGTCGGATCGACTGTCACCTAATCGGTACGGACGCATTACTCAACGGCGGATTGAAAAATTCGGAGTTTTCGAAACAGTGAACAGGTACGCACGATCCCTCAGCCCTGTCCCGTAACAATCGACGTTTCATTAATTGGCAGGGCTCGCTAGTAAATCAAGGCGAGCGTTCTCGCACCGACGGGATAACCGATAAGGGGCCGGGCTTTACGCGGTCGTTATTGTTACTTGACCCGGCCGGCCGATAAAATCGTGGGGATGATTAATTAAAGCGGAAAATTAATTATCTAGGAGCAGGTCGTTTCGTTCCCACTTGCCGCGGTTAACTATAAACGTCGGAGTTTAAATTACTTCCTCGCCTCGGCCGGCGATCTTGCCGGGGCCGTTGCTGAGGAATCGTTTAATTCATAGATACCGATTTCAACCACTCATATGAATGATGATTAGTACCGTTGGGTCATTGAAAAATCCCCCAAGACGTATTATCCAATTGAAATGCTCGCGGGAGGGAGGGCTTTCTATCTGGGAAGAATCCGCGTTGCTCGTGGAGAAGGCTATCGACGTGTCACGATACTCGTCTTTGGTCACGAACCATGCGGGACCGGGCTCCGCGATATTAAATTATACAAAAATAATTTACCGTTCTCGTAATAGTATTATTTGCGCGATATCTTCTTGAAAGCGGCGCACAATGGAAATTTTACTGCGCGTTAGAACGGCTGATCAACAGTCGGAGATGCAATAAATACCTTGGTAGCTCGTTGTACATCCCGCCGGAGTGTTCGATGGAAGCTACACGGCGTGTATCTAATTAAAAAGCTTATAAAAGGGGAAGAACGATGCCTGGGAAATTCACGTGGCTCCAGCGAGCCGCGGACAAGCTCCGCGTGGATTCGACTAGCCGTGCAGCCATGGCCACGAAACGAAGAGCAAGAAACCGCGACACATCGCGCACGCCCGATTAGAAATAAACGAAACAGCGCGGTACACGCGATCGTCCCAGCAATATTCGTCGGATCGCCGCCCGCGCCGCGCGGGAATGAATGATTACTAAATTACAACACACCCTTAGATACGATCGGTGAGCCGTAATTGCAGGACTATTCATATATTATTGGCTCGTATATTATTTGACGCGATTCAATAACTCCGGTACGGGACGGCCGATGTTATCTCTCCGTCGTTAAGCCGCATTCGCAATATCGATCGGACCTGATTAATGGCCGCATTTAAGCCCGCAATTTTTCCCGGCGATTATTAACGTTAAAATTGAATGTGTCCGGGAGCATACGGCTTCCCTCGGCCGAGCGCGGGGACCACGTGCGAAAAGAAGGGACGTCTTCCTTCCTTTCGCCCGGAAGATCCATCTTCGAATTGTGTTTGTTAAGCGTACGCGACGGGTCGAACAACTGGGAACGCCTTGCCAAGCAAATAACCGGCGTAATTTATCGCGGTTGGCCCGGGGTAAATGAAAAAGTTACGCTGCAGCGGTTTCGCTACCTTCGTTAGCGGTCAAATTGGATGGATGCGCTTTCTGAAATTGATACTCGAACTGTTCAACCGTACATCGATATTAGAAGTCATACGAAGAAATATATATCAAATACAACATACGACGGATGTAGTTTAAATTGAATATCAAATATCATATTAATCAAAGAATCGAATGTTCCTACGTTAAATTAAAGAGTTTATACGTTAGAAACTTCGGTGACATCTCACAATTTAAAAGCATTAATAGAAATACACACATGCTACACATCACGAGACGTTTCGATATTGACACGAAAAGGGCTGCTAGAGTCCCTAGTGACAAATGGTTCACACGAACAAATGGAAGTTGAATAATCGTAAAGGTCGCACGGGCGCGATGAATGCCGTCACATCGACGTACGAAAATAATGTATTTCACGCGCGTCCGTTCGCGCTCGCACACGTGGGTTACGGCCAGAAATATATGAACAATCCGGCGCGATGTACCTGCGCTCCTGGGGCGACTACCTGCGGCTAATTTACAGCGGAGAACGCGGATAACTTCTGTCGTTATTCTACCCCTCCCCTTAGAGTTTCCCGCGTGTCGTCTCCTCACCGATTCCCGTAACGGAGTGCGCGATTAGCTTGAAATACCTGACTCCATTCCCGGAGGATCTCCAGACGGAGAGAGGCAGAGAAAGAGAGAGAGAGAGAGTGGGAGCCCCGTTGTTGCGTAGGTCGATCCGGATCTGCATAAGAGCGAAACGGCGACCATCTACCTGCCGCCTGTTTCAGCTGAATGCTAAGGAACAGCGACCACCTTGACGCTCGTCGAGACGGACTCAATAACGGGCGGACGGGGCGGCTACGGAGGATCCCGGGGAACCGTGGATCGCCTCTACTTGAAGCTCCCAATTAACGCCCTAAAGGGTTCGCGCGCGAGACTTAAATTCGGCCATCGAATTGCAGCAATGGAATCGTGAACTTAACGAACCTATCGTTCCAGGTGCAGCGGGATGGAAGAGTCAGTCGTTTCGGTGAAGTACGAGTCCGACGTTGAGCGCGACTCATGTGACGAGGTAAATTTTCGGACTGTCTTTCGAGTCTTCTGGGTGTAACGATATCTTTGTGATATCTTTTAACTCGTGTTCTATAATATTCACAAGTGGTTGATCATTTCTTTGATCACCAGTGAGACTTCGAGTGAATGGAATTTGATTTGAACCCCTTGCGCTCGGAAGCTTTTCGCTAGAAACATTCATTTCCTGATGAGACATAGACGACACTATTTGAGACGAACTAATGAGAAAACATCTGTAAATTAAGAAACTAAGCTGTTTTATATAAATACTTTACATATTGATGCATTATAGAAAATTGAATATTATACATAACACTTTGTAATTTTGTTATGTCGAATCAAATGCTGACTGGGAGTCACCTCTCGAGTGCAAAGGGTTAAGTTTGATCGAATTAACACGCTTTTTCAAGTATTCTGTGCAACGAGATGAACTACAGATTGTCGTGGGACACTTTTGAATTCCAGGAAGACAAAGTGCCGATCACGACCACCACGAAGAACGCGTTGATAACGACCCAGCTGGGCCCATGCGACGTCTATCCGCATCGCGTCAAAGTCTCGATCGTGGGTATAGGGAAGATCGGAATGGCCTGTGCCATCGCGATCCTGATGAGAGTGAGTACGGCCGCGGGTCGAAGGCATGCGGATCGCAACGCTCGATCAACCGTTTGATTCCCGGTGATCTTTAGAGGTTGGCGAGCGAGGTCTGCCTGATCGACCACGACGCGAACAAGGCTTCCGCCGAGGCCGAAGACATTCAGCACGCGGGCGTTTTTTTGGGAAGTCCTCTAGTAACTGGCACGTCAGGTACTTAATTCATTATATCTCAATCAGGGACTTCCACTAACGATTCTTTAAAATAAAACTCTTTCGCGAAGGACGGCCGACGACTAAACGAACGTGCCAGGAAGAAGAATCTAGAAAGAAACTTTTCTACCTTCGTAGCTCATTAACAGGCAAATGTTGTATGCACTGTCAAATCGTTCTTTGATTATACGAACGATTTCAATCACATTAGGTAAAAATTCAATATCGCATCAGACCTCGTTCCTTCGTTCCAACCGTGACCGCGCTTCCTCTCCATTCGTCATCCCTATAATAGCAGCACATTTACCCGCGACAGTATTATTACCCACATTTAATTTCATACGTCGCTGGCTGAAGTTTCCGAATGGACGGCGCGGCGATACTTTACCGAACCTCATTTCCGGGGCGATGTTACCCGGCCAACAAACAACCCGTGAAGTATCGGCGAAATGCCGGAACTGCGAGGGGGCAAGGATTCAAAGTACAGAGCCGCACATGAGTGAGTCACGCCCCGAGCGTTTTCATCGTCATGGCCTACTTACCCGTGAAGAGGGAACCCGGTGCCCGGGAGCGATCGTTCAGGGACATCGTCAACGATTCTTTCCGCGTACACGCGATCCGT